CTTTTGTCCTTATAACAACTATGTAAGTTTTGCTCTGTTTGTAAATATTTTCACTTTATAAATACAGAAAGGATATTAAGAGATTTGTTTCCCATGCCCCCAATGTCTCCTTCCTATCAAGTGACAGAATGGGGACATCTGATAGAACTTCTGTTCTTCTCAGTATTATCACTTTCCTCATAGCCCCTTCTACTCCTTCCCAGAAACCAGTCCTGCCTTACTTACACAGAAATGTGAGGCTCTGGACGCTCCCGACTGCGGTCCTATTTTTGTGCTTACTCTTACCTCTTTCCTTCTCTCCTGAGATGAATAAATATCCTTCTACCTGTTTGTGAACTGTCTTCCCTTTACCAGGTTTGCATTTTGTATTGTGAAATATGTCAGCCCCTTAGAGTCGATAGTATAGTTCACATACTCACTCTTATACCTATCATCTGTTTCTAATACTTGTTACCATCTGCTGATATATGTTTTATATGGGATTTTTATATAATGTGCTGTTTTACATCTCACTACCTCATTGCATATCTCTTAAAGATTCCCTGTAAAGTTTTTTTCCTATAAAACATACTGTTATTGTCATACATTGTAAAATGAACCACAATTCTTCAATGTTATTTAATGGCCAGCCCTTATTTAAAGTTTCCCACTTGTTTATATATACATATTCTATATGTATGTTAATGAGTTTGATCATTCATCTTTTTCTTGCTGCTGCCACACTTTACATTCTAAGCTTGAGAAAAATCCTAATTTTCTACAAGTATCCTCTTTCTTGCCTCTACTGGCTTCTAAACACTTGGTTAGAAAAATCACCAACTCTGAGATGGTTTTTCACAAAGATGGGAATGAGTATTTGCTGAATTTTCTGTCTACTGTGGTATAATGCTGACATAGAGTATAGTATATTGTGTATACTTTTGCTTTGCCTTCCTCCATCTGTGTAAACTCTTGGTAAGGCAACAATTATGTCTTTGCTATTTATTTTTGGCTCCTAGCAAGCATTTACTAATTGTTTACATTAATAACCTGCTTGCTTCTATGATGGTCAATGATTAGCCCTGGCGGTAGAAAGGATTGGTTTGTGGTAGTGGTGAAGAGAGAAATTTCTGTATTCCAAGTTTCTTTCTGTACTGAATAGTTTGATATTTTGTCTACATTCATGGAATCTGTAAAGCAAGAGATGTTTTTAGATTATAAAAACTATATGTCAATGAAATTTTTATTGCAAATGCCTAAGAATATATTGAAGTCTCTGAGTGGTGTGAACAGTTAATGCACTTGACAGGTAGTTGGTATTGGAGTCAACTCAGAGGGTACTTTGAAAGAAAGGTCTGATGAGTTCTGTGTACAAATTCACCTAGAGAGCACAGCTTCACTGTGACACACATGGAGTCTTCATGAGAAGACTGGAATCAACTGATCATGTGATGTTTTTCTTTATGTAGATATGAGGCATGCTTACAACAACAAGCGTCAACTTTCATTAGTCACACTAGCCAATACACATTTGAGTGCCTCAAAAGTTAGACTTTTTTGGTGGATATATTTGACCTGCTGATTCTAAAAATGGCACCTGTTTTCTCTTATTAGCTCCAGTTTTTGAGATATAGAACATATGCCACATACTACTTTTTACTCTGATGCCCATAAAACATCAGGATATATTAATGTAGTGTTAGCTAGCCTGAGATAGAGGAAGTGTATGCCAGCTTTATTTAAAGTAGCTTGTGTTGTATTAAATATATAGGTCAAGTTATACTTCATATGGTGCCCTTTGATTCAAAGATCTATTTGAGCAGTGCAAAGTGTATGAACTGGAATTTTCCCCAAGTCTCATTTTACCTTAATTAAGAATGGACTAGCAGCAGTTCCAATTTTTTATCTTAAAAAGGGGCCACACAACAAACAGACCTTGAACTGTTTATAGGCTTTTCCATTTTTGTCAGTGACTTTCTTTTTGTTATTGTTATTTTGTTTTTTGTTTTGTTGGTTTTGACTTCCTTCATTGTTTTATTCGGCTTTGCCTGGTTTTTGCACTTATTAATGTATCTGCATGTCAATCTAGGTAAGATAGGTGGGATAAATAATTCAGAGATGAAAAGAATGGGACCAATGGTTCCGGAGTGATACGGGAAAAGGGGAGGTGGGAGAAAGGAAGGAGGCGGGGGATCAACCCAGGGACAAGGGAACAACAAGTGAACTAAAATTGATAGAAGGAAGGTTGTAGGATACCTAGTGGGGCTTAATCAAGGGCAATGTTGCAGCAAGGTATTCCTAAACCCGAATGAAGGCCGAATGTTATGGTGGAACAAGAGAGAAGTAAAAAGGAAATAGAGAAAAGAACCAGGAGGCAAAGAACATTTATAGAGGCCTAAATACAGGCTTGTACATATATATATGTGTGTGTATATATATATGTGTGTGTGTGTGTGTATATATATATATATATATATATATATATATATAAAACAAGAGGGGAATAGAACTATGTACTCATATTTGTATGTTAAGAATTAAGGTTGCAGATTAAGGGAGTCCTCAACATAAGAGCACTTTGTTCTAACAATCCAGCATTCTGTGATGCTCACCTTCCTGACATGATCACTGAAGACAAAATGGGTGCAGAAGCAAATGTGACGAAGAAAGCTGATGGTGCCCAGCTATCAAAAGATATAGTGTCTAGAGTCTTAAAGGATTGAAGATAAACAAATGGCCATATAGCTCAGAAGCAACAAAGCCCACATGGAAGAAGCACACCAGCCTGTGTGATTATGAGATGCTGATTGGATCAGGTATCAGGCATCTAAGACCCAGAACAAAACCATACCCAATGTGAATTGGAGTAGTGGGGCATAGAGTGGAGACCCAATGTCCATCTGTAGACAATTGGACATCCCCTCACAGAGGGCTCACAGGGAAGAGATGAGCCAGTCAGGGTGCTGTATAGCACTGATGAAACACACAACTTTCCTCTAGTTCTTTGGTGCTTCCTTCACCACACTATCATGACCTCAATTCTACCGTACAAATCGGATTAGACCAGAGCATTCACGCTGCTACAGATAAGAGCCCACAACACAGGAAATCCAGGATAGATAAACCTCTCAACAACAAGAGTAGAGACACCAGTAGAAGTTAGGGGAGGGTGGGGGGAGATAGGGGGAATCGATCACAAGGATCAATTTAGAAAGCCCCTCCCAGGGGGACAAATAATGGAAAAGTGGGTGAGGGGTGACGGAGTACAGTGTAAAATATGGAAATAATTATCTATAACTTTTCAAGGGTTCATGAGGGACGGTGGGGGAAGGAGGGGGAAGAAATGGGAAGCTGACATCAGAGGCTCAAGTGGGAGGAGAATGCTTTAAAAATGATGATGGCGGCATATGTGCAAATGTGCTTGTGCAAATGTGCTTGACATACTGGATGAATGTATGGATTGTGATAAGAGCTGTAAGAGCCCCCAATAAAAGTACTTGGGAAAAAGGGGGGGCAGAAATAAGAGTTCCTGTACAGGAAATAAGGAGCCCTGGTGGTACAGTGGGTTATGTTTGACTGTTAAGCACACACTCCACTATTTGAGCCTACCAGCTGCTCTGCAAGAGAGCACCTATAAAAGCTCCTACAAAGACTTCCAGCCTCCAACCCCACTGAAGTCCCACTCCTCACCACAGGGTCATTCTGAGTCATAATCAACTGACTGGCAGTGAGTTTGGTACAATAAATAGAGATTCAAATGTTTTGAAACCCAAAATGGGTCTGTCAGAGTTCAAAATGTTACAGCCTTGTTATAAGATGATACAACTCTTCTATTTGTACACAAAAATTCCTAAAACTTAGAATTTTTGTTATAAGGAAGTTTGGAGTCCAATTCACCTCTGAAACATTAAATGTGAATAATCCACTGGCTTCTATATACTAAAATATGTCTGAAAGCTTACTGCATAATTTGAAGAACAAATTAGATCTTCAAAATATTTATGAAAATTGCTATGAAGTCTTATATTTTGAACACTCTAATTTCCCCCCCACATTCCATATACTGTATGTGGCTTTTTAATTTTATTTTTATTTTTTACTCTTCTCGGGCTGTGTTCTAGCATTGCAGTATCTTATTTGTATATATTGCAGTCTCCCCTAGCAAAAGAAAAACCTACTGCCAGCTAACTGATTATAGTGACCCTACAGGACAGAGAAGAACTTCACTTTTGTTAACTTTGGTTCTGACATACAGTTACCCAGTATACAACAGAACAAAACACCGCATAATCTAACACCAGCCTCACAGTGGTTGCTCTGTTTGAGCCATGGTTGCAACCACTGTGCCAACCCATCTTTTGCACAATGGAGCTTCCTCTTTCTCACTGATCCTCTATTTTGCCAACCACAATGTCTTTCTCCAGGGACTGAGTCCTCCTGATAACATGACCAATGCATGTGAGACACGGTCTCTCCATCCTCACCTCAAAGGAGCATTCTGCCGTGTTCGTCCAAGATAGACTTGGTTATTCTTCTGGCAGTCCCTGGCATAGTCTGTGTCTAGTTAGGCAGTTGCTATTGTCTAGCAGAGAAAGATAGGTGGATAGCAGGAGAAAAATGTTTGGAGTTTGGTTGTAGTTTGAAGGTAGAGTAAAAAAATCATCCTTGAAACTAATTGGGTTTTTAAATTTGTGTGTAAATTAAAAGATCACTTTATTGGGGTCTCTTAAACAACTCTTGCTACAATCCATACATCGCTTGCATCGGGCGAATTTGTACATAAGTTGCCTTCATTCTTTTCTAGACAGTTACTTTCTATTGAGCCCTTGGTATCACCTCCTCCTTTCCCCCCCCTCCCCCGCATCCTCATAACCCTTGATAGATTATGTTATTATTTTCATAGCTCACACCGACCGCTGTCTCCCTTCCCCCATGTTTTCGGGACCGGGTAATAGGCACCAGAAGACACATAACAAACAAAGAAACGAATTGTTCTTATTTACTGCCTTTCTCTCTCTTAGTTTCGATATTCGAACTGGCTTGATAAGTTGTATATGTTGCTGGGGACTCTGGCTGCTAGCCTCCATGGAGCTGCACTTCCTCTCATGATGCTGGTGTTTGGAGACATGACGGATAGCTTTGCACATTTCGGAGATAAATGGAACAGTAGTGATTATGAGCAAAGTAAGTATTGTGTGTGTGTGTGTGGTACTGTCTTTATTGGAACCTTAGAAAGACCAATAAAGAAAAATCAATCAATCAATGTTTGAGAAGCCCTTATTAAATGTTGATTAATATGTATTAGCTTTGGGAAATAGAGGAGGATGAGCCAGAGTTCATGTTTTTCATGAGTTTGCGAGAACACGGTATTCCAAGCGTTCATGTGTAAGATGGAAGTGCAGCCCAGATGAGTGCAGGAAAGAGCCTTCTGTGGCCTCAGATACGTCTACTGAAGCTTCAGGAAGTGGCATATGAACTTGATGTGGACCTTGAATAGTAAGTAGGAAGAGCAGAAGACCTTGTGACATCTAGGCTTTCATTCCAGTTTGTTTTGTCTTCTTGTTTAGATAGCAACCTTTTAAATTCTTGCATTTTAGTAAGAAAGCTACCTTTTTATGGATGTTAGCAGTTTGTTGACCTAATATTTGTAAATGGTCTGTTTAGGCAGGTTAAAATTATGTAATGCAGTGTTTAAGACAGGAGAAATTTTTTCCTTTTTTTAAAACTGTATAATGTCCCTCAAGTTATGGCAGTGTACCTTGTGCCACTGAATTTCCAAAGTGTACCAATTTTTTTTTACTGTGCTTCAAATAAATAGAAAAAGTAGTTAAAATACCCATCTTCAAAAAAAAAAAAAAAAGGGCAGGGGAGCAGGGAAACAACGAAGAAACGGAGCTGCCTGGTATGCTTGTGGAGGAGGGATTATGCTGAAAGGTAATAGGAATTCAGGAGAAAGAACTTTGTGGAAAACTTAAAAAAGTTAATATGGACGTGCCCCTTCCAGATTAAAAGGGATTAGAAAGAGACAATCAGGAATATTATGAGAATTATGATTAGATTATTTTTAATGTAAAAAATGTAAAGTTATAAGACATATACAATATAAAAATTGCCATTTCTTCCACTTTCAAATTTGCAGTTCAATGCCAGTCATTCACAGTGCGGTACAACTAACCCCACTATTTCTAAGACTTCTAGTATTCCAAACAGAAACTTTGTGGCACTAGGCAATCCCTTGCCATGTCCCCCAGCCCTTGGTAATGACTAAACAACTTCCTAACCCTAGATATGGCATGTCAGTGGAGTCATATAATATTTTTAGAGTAGTTTTATGTACTGTTTGTTCCTTTGTGTCTGACTTATCACCTTTAGCATAATGCTTTCAAAGTTCATCTATGCCATAGCACATAATAACACTTGTGTTCCTTTTATGGTTGGATACTGTTTCTATTATATGCCACATGTTGCTTGTCTACTCTTGATGGGATTTGCACGGCTTTTGGCTTTTGATTACTGTGAGTCACGTTGCTATGAACACGCATGACAGGTCTTCCTGAGGCCCTATCTTCAGGTCTTTTACACACGTGTCTAGGATTGGAATTGCTGGAGTGTATGGTAGGCCCATGTTTGAGGACATATTAAGTTGTTCTCCACAGTGCTGTACCTTTTACATTCTCACCAGCCACAGAGGAGGGCTCCAGTTTCTCCACACCCTCACCGACCCTTATATTTCTTAGGGGTCTTTACACCACCCGAATGACTGTGAACACGTATTTTGCTGTGGCTGGTTTTATCCTGTTTCCCTTAAAAATAATGGTGCTGCCATCCAAACCTCGGTTCATATTCCAGTTTTCCTCAACTGCCCACAATGTCTTTTATAACTTTTTTAAATGGGAATTTTTTATTCCTGTGCTTGTTGGATTTTGCACCTCTTCAGCGAGATGGATGGACACCGTGGCTGTATAGGAACCATTGTAAGGGTGGTGCAGGACCATGCAGTGTTCTACTCTGCTGTTTATAAGGTCACTACGGATCGGGAACCACTCGATGGCATTTAACAACAATAGCATCATCTTTGGAGAAGTGTCTTTTCAAGGCCTCTGTCTGTTTTTTTTAAGAATGTTTTGCCTTTTTCCGGAATTATAACAGTTCTTCATAGTATAAGCTAACCCGAATATCAGCTGAGGCACCTAATTTTACCACAAAACAGCAGTAAGAATGTGTTAAATGGAAAGATATGGAATCAGGACAGATAAACCCCTCAGGACCAATAATGAGAGTAGCGATGCCAGGAGGGGAAGGGGAAGGTGGGAGGAGAAAGGGGGAACCGATCACAATGATCTACCTATAACCCCCTCCCAAGAGGATGAACAACAGAAAAGTGGGTGAAGGGATACATCAGTCAGTGTAAGACATGAAAAAAATTAAAATATATAAATTATCAAGGGTTCATGAGGGAGGGAGGTTGTGGGAGGGTGTGGAAAAAATGAGGAGCTGATACCAAGGGCTCAAGTAGAAAGAAAATGTTTTGAGAATGAAGATGGCAACAAATGTACAAATGTGCTTGACACAATGGATGGATGGATGGATTTTGTTAAGAGTTGTATGAGCCACAATAAAACGATATATATATATATTTATATATATTTTTTTCTTTATATATATATATATATTTCTTTTTAAAATGTGCCGAAAAACTCGGTTTATACACAAGTATATGCAGTATTTAGGAATTAGATGTTCGGTTTTTCCTGCCAGCGCAGTTGTTAACTAGTTTTTAGCTACTAATTAAAAGGCCAGTGGTTCAAACCCACCATCCACTCCATGGGGAAAAGCTGTGCAGTTGCTTCTGTAAAGATTTACAACCTTGGAAACATGGCAGGGGCAGTTCTAGTCTTTCCTGTGAGGTTGTTAGGAGTCAAACAACTAACCTCCATGCATGTGTGTATATTTATTAGATATATAAGATATATGTATTGAGTTCTTTATATATTCAGAGTTTATCCAGAATATATAAGGAATGTCTCCAACTCAACAAGAGAAAGACAGATGACCCAATTGAAAATAGACAAAAGACTTCAATAGATATTTCTCCAAAGGTCAAATGATCAATAAGCACACCCCTAAAAAGAACATCCAATTTTTAAACAAAATTATAAAAGATATAACAGTTAAGTAGTAAAACGTGATTATGGATCGAGGGTTAGGTGATAGTATAGAATTATTGTTCATTTTCTCAGGCATGGCAACCATATTGTGGATATATAGAAAAAATCTACAAGCAGACTTTAAAAAGTTCATCGAAGATTGGAATTAAAAGATAATGGATTATTTTGAAGCCTATTAATATTGGTAGAGTAACTGTGAATAGGATAGGGACAATAGTTATATAAGTTGAATATACTGAATGTCATGAAGTAATTCTATATATGTAAATATATTTAACTTAATTTTATATATGTAAAAATTGTGAGTTGGCAAGTATTCTGTATAGATGTGTGTGTATGTATATATACATATACATATATATTACAATGGAAAAGGAAAGGGAGGGAAGTTACAGATGGTAGGGCTTTCAACAGGAGTGACATGATCTGCTTTATGTTTGCCAAGGACCACTGGCTGCTGGGCTAAGAATATGGAGGAGAGGACGAGAATGGAAATAGGGTGGTCGCTTAGTGTGAGGCCATTTAAGTAGTTTAAAATATGAATATGATTATAACTCAGACCAAGGTGGTGAAAATAGAAGCAGGTTTGCGTTTGGGAGATAGTCTTAGGGTAAACCAAATATGGACCTGGCAGATTTGCTATGGAGCAGAATAGAAAGGAACTTCAGCCGGAGAAACAATGACTCAAAGCATAGGGCTCTATTCTGTGAGTTATTGAACACAGGTGGTGCTCAAGAAATGCGATAACAGTTGTATGAGCCCCTAATAAAATGTTTAAAAAAAAAAAGCACACAGACACACACACACACACACACAAAGAAATGGGATGAATAAGTGTAATAGTGAATACTTTTATAAGTGAAAAGGAGCCTTAGAGATTTTTCTGGCCAAGCCTTATAATTGCACAGATGTAGAAACCAGGAAATGGACATGATGTGACCAGGACAGACCTGCTTACTAGTTGGCAGGACTGAATTCCTAGGACAGGCATCCTACCTTCAGTCTGATTCTTGCCACTCCACTAGGGGTTTTCAAGTGCCGAGGGAAGGCAAAGCACTCCAGCAATTTTCACTAGGTCTTTTTCCTCGGTTCGGTGCCTTCCTGTAGGTTTGCTGTTGGTATGTCAGTCAGGCAGGTCAGCCATGAGGCACAGCTCTTAAGGCCAGAGGTGTGAAAGCACATGTGGAGGTGAAATCATCCCAGTCACTTGCCATAACCCCAGCCTGGGCTAGAGCCAGGAAGATAGGTCATTTAGGTGAAAGGTCCAGATTCACCATGTGGTTGCTTAAAGTTTCTGGCATATGCATGGAAGCAGAATCATAGAACTCTTGACCTCTAAAGGGCCTGGTGAATCATTTAACTCAGTAGTTTATTATGGCAGAGAATGCTCCTTGTGCAAATAATGTCCATCAGGCAAACTCATAGAGTTAAACAGCCCAAAGGAAGGCTGCCTGATCTAATGTGACAGCCAGGGTCTCTGCTAGTTGTCCACTCTCCTATGACTTGGCAGCTATGTTGAGGTCGCTCTACAGAGTTCAGTGCTGCATATCTGTGGCTACTACCCTTGTCCAAAGCCATCTTCATCTCTTACCTTGACAACTGTAGCTTCCCAACTCCTCTCTGCCTTTTCCCTCCCTTTTCTTTTCCATTTAAATTCATACATACATATATATGTACATATCTATATGTAACATTTTCTAATTCACAAGTTTTACATATATAAAGTTAAGTTACATATATTTATACTATATTTACAAATACAGAATTACTTCATGACATTAAATATATTTAACTTGTATAATTATTGTCACTATCTTATGTACAGTTACTCCACCATTCTTAACAGAAACTCATTGCCACATAATTGCTTTCTTTTTATTGTATAAAAACACATTGTGTAAACTGCCATTTTAAGGGCATGTTTCAGCGACATTAATTACATTCACCATATTGTCCATCTATCCCCACTATTTATTTCTAAAACTTTTTCATCTCCTCAAACAGAAACTCTTACCC